CCTGCAGTGACCAAAGACAGCTTCCTGGCCCTGTTCCAGATCTAGCTCTCTTCAGAGCCCTTTCTTTCTCAGCTAAGAATAGAATCAATTTTTAACCATATAATTTATATTTCTGTGGCCACTAGTCAGAATGAGCATCTTTTCCCGGTTATGGATCCCACACATTTTCTTTTCTGTATGTGGCCCATTATCATCTGATGTGGAATAAAATCTCAGGACTGAGAGCTAATGCACTGACGCAGACAGGGAGCTTGTGTTTGCTCTCCAAAGGATTGACTTCCTAAGTCTTACACATCTGTGGACAAAAATAAGGGTCAGGATGTTTTCTCAAAAGCAGGCTTGCTTCCTGTCAGTGTCTGCCTTTCTCTGACAATGTCGTTTCCTTTTCTAGGTCGGTGGTCACTGAGGGAGGTCAGCAGGATGTGATGGAATTTGTACACGCAGACACCAGAGTCGTCATTAATGATGTTTTGTTTCTTTCAAAAAAAACCAGTCAAAAGCAAGGGAGAAAAGCTACACAGATGGACAGAGGGAGTTGTATGTAGGCTGGGGAATGTGAGAACTGTCTGATAAAAGCAAAAGATCTGAGTGTACAAATCTTAAGAGGATGAGGGCCAACATCTTATCTGGTTTGAGAAAAATGTCTATAGAAAAACTACTACATGTATTTGAGACCGACTTCATCATGTGCAAATAGAAGATACACCACTGTCAACCTCAGATAGCAATGTCATGTTGCATCAACACCAAGGACTTTCCCGCTTAGTCTGACAGCAGTCAAAAGGGCTCCGAGGCTCACATTTTAACCATTTGGTGACCAGAGAACAGAATCCGTACTGCCTGAGACACAGAGTAAGGTACATCCAGGTTGTGGAACTTGGGTCTGTAACTTATCAGCTACATTCTATAAAGCAGTCCCATCTTCTGGGCCTTGGTGTCCTCATTGACAAGCAGGAGAAAGTTATTAGCTCAAGAAGCTACTGTAAGCACTAATATGTTACTATATACGTCTTCTTTTCAGTATTTTCTCCTTTTGTGTCATTTATAAAGCCAAGCAAGGTCCATGAATGGAGGTGCTCACTGACACTTGTGCATTGGAGCTCTGTGGAGAACAGCCTCATAGACCACTGTAATGGGATGTGTTAGAGCAGAACTTCTCAACCTCTGGGTGGTGACCCCTGGTGCGGGAGAATTGTGTGTATTCTGTCAATCATATTTTAATAAAACGCTGATTGGCCAGGCAGGCAGTATAGGTGGGAAAGCCAGACAGGAAGTAGGGGTGGAGAAAAGAGACTGGGAGTATTCTGGAAGCAGAAGCTCTCTCAGCCACTCCTGTACAGACCACCGAAGAGACAGCATGTGACCTGCCCAGCTGAAAAAGGTTAGGGACAATGCAGAGTCAGGTTCTGCAGGTTTATATTGAATACATGGCAGGGTTAAAATTCCTAAAAAGTTGGGAGGGCTATCAAGAAGGTTGGAGTGCTTCCTTGGTAACAAGTATTCTTTAGACTGTCAACGCAAAAAGAGGTGGATTGTTAATAGTTTGGACAAACCAATAGAAATTCCAAAGCATGCTATGATATTTTAGATTAGTAACACTTATTTCTTAAGAAAACAATAGACAGGATTATCAGAAAACAGGGGAAGATATTTCATTTTACAAAAATTTTAATAGAAAAAAAATCAAACCACAAGTAAGGAAATAGTGGGGAAAAGCACAGTGCGCACCAAGGAATGCTGAGACGTTAAGATAAATGCTTTACACCATATGCATCATGACACATCAGATTCTCTTAGTACTTTACTGCAATAAGACACCATGACCAATGCAATTTATAGAAGAAAGTTTATTTTGTACTTACAGTTCCAGACGGTTAGAGTCTGGAACTCTAACCATGACCATAATGATGGGCAAGACCTTCATGGCACTGAGGCAGTAGCTTAGAGCACACATCTTGATCCACAAATGTGATGCAGAGAAGGGGAACAGGAGTTTGTAGGCTTCTGAAACCCCAAAGCCCACCCCTAGTGACATACCTTCCCCTTAACAAGGTCACACTTCCTAATCCTTCCCAAATAGTTCCACTAACTGGTGACTGAGTATTCAAATATACGAGTCTATGGGGGGGCATTCTCATTCAACCCGTCACACTCTTCTCCTTGGCCCCCAGAGGCTTGTAGCCATATCATAATGCAAAAATGTGATTGGTGTGACTTAAGTCATATGTGTATACTTTTATATGACTAATAGACTTTAATGTTTCTAACTCCTAGTCACTTTTTATATGATCCAAGCATTTGATATCAAGCTGCATTTACATATTTAAAAACATTTTGAAAAATGATTGTGCTATGTAGCTCAGGTTGGCTCTGGATTCTCTATCATCATACTTTAGTCTCTTGAGTGTTGGAATTATAGGAGCGAGAGCTGCTTTTAAAATGCCATTGGTAGTTCATTAGTCCTGGCCTTTTACCAATGTTAGGAGAAGCCATGTACCAATTAGGCACTTGCTGTACTAGTGAGATGCAGTTATCCAAATACCCATTGAAAATGAGAACATTAGATGACTTTTGGCCTCTCCTACTGTGTTTGCCTTCACTGCACAGGATGGTGAAACTTGTATTTATTTTCTTCCTATTGTGTGCCATATATGACAAGAATGTAGCATACACAGTCCTGAAATAGGACATCATTGCTTTTCCTGGGGACAACACGAATTTTATTGAATGCTCAATATTCTTGACATTTTTGCAGAGTTTGCCTAAGACAGCCGCTATGGAAATCAGTGTGGCAGTTCCTCAGGAAGATGGGACTTGATCTTCCTTGGGATCTACCTATGCCACTCTTGGGGATGTGCCCAAAAGTTGCTCCATCCTATCACAGGGTCACTTTCTCTGCCATGTTCATTGCTACTCTATCCATGATGGCCAAAGATTACAAATGGTCCTAATGTTCCTCAGCAGAAGAAATGGATATAGCAAATGTGATACATTTACAAAATGGAGTATTACTCAGTCATTAAAAAACGACACCATGAAACTTGCGGGCAAACAGATGAAACTAGAGAAAACTTATCCTGAGTGAGGTAACCCAGACCCAGGATAAATATGGTATATATTCACTGTTATATAAGTACTAGCTGTTTAAGTCAATGATAACAAAAGCAACAATTTATAGAACCCCAGAATGGAGTTATAGATGAAAGGGCTAGAGGATACTGATCTTGTTAGAAAATGGAAATAGAATATATATATATATATATATATATATATATATATATATAAAATTATAATTATGGATGGTGGGGGTGGAACAGAGCAATCAAGAAGGGAGAAAATGCAAGTAGGAATAACTAAAATTTAGGGGTGCTTTAGGAGTAATATGGAAAACTAATAGAGTAAAAAGTTCCTAAAATATACATGTAAGAAGGTCATCTAAATGAAATCGACAAATAATGGGGGAGATGGAGTCACAACTGGTCATCTTTTGTCACCAAATAAAGTTTCCAGCACTGGGATTGGGTTACATCTAATTGAATTATTGGCCAAAGGAGTACCATGGGAACTCCCAAAAGACCTAGAATGTTGCCAAGATGTTCCTTTCCACAAGACCCCATTGCTGAAGACAACGCCTGTCCAACTCATTGAACATGAAGAAGTAAGGCTGGTGCCTACAGGGAGCCTTCACCCCTGGTACAGGAACATACTTCCAAAAATGAAATATAAATACCAAGCCAGCCACACATCTTTGACCTATCATGGTGTCCTGTCTGCAAAATATGCTAGTACAATGGTGGCATAAAGTCTGTGGGAGTAACCAACTGATAACTGATTTGGCTCAAGGCCCACTCCATTAGCTGGAACCCATACCTGACACTTCTTGGATGATCAAGAATCAGACTAGCCCAGGGACCTAGGGTAAATACTAATGGAATAACAACAGCGAAAAAAACCTTAAGTGATACAATGACTATTATTGATATTCTGCTACATTCACAGATAAGTTTCTTGTTCAACTGTCATCAAAGATGCTTCCTCCTGCAGCAGATGGGAACAGATAGAGACCCACAGGAAGACATTATGCAGAGAGTGAGACCCTTTGGAACACACAGCTCTAAATGGGATGTCTCCATCAAATCCCTCCCCTCAGAGCTCGGGAGAAGAGGAAGCAGAAAGAGTGTAAGAGCCCGAGGGTATGGAGGACACCAAGGAAACAAAGCCTTCTAAATCAACACGGGCAAAGTTGGTGTGAACTCACAGAGACCGAAGCAGCACCAGGGTCTGCATGGGTCTGCACCAGCTCCTGGGTACTTATATTATTCTTTCCAGTTTAGTGTTTTTATGGAATTCCCGAGTGTGCGAACAAGTGGGTGGCTGATTTTTGTGCCTTTTCTTGGGATCTTTTCCTTCTGTTGGTTTGTCCTATCCAACTTCGATGTGATAGCTTTTGTTTTATAGTATCTCTTAGAAGCTTGTTCTTTTCTAATGAGAGACAGCAAGGGGGTGGATCTGGATGAGACAGGAGAGAAGAGAAGGAGAGAGAAGGGGAGGGAAAGGGGGGAGTAGAGGGAAGGGAAACCATAATCAGGATATATTATGTGAGAAAAGAATGTATTTTCAATAAAAGGAAAAAAAGAAAAATTAAAGATCCTAGTATAAAGGACAAGAAGTGTGGAGCGGTGTGCTTACTTTCTGCCCACTGCTGGGTTGGACATTTGGGGCCCCTTCTGTTGTTAATTTTTCAGCACATATCTTTTGTAAATTTTCATGAGATTTCTTTATTTGGCATATGTGTGGAGATCAGAGGAAAACTGTCAGGATTCTGTTCTCTTCTTCCACCACGTAGGCCCTGGGACTGAACTTGGATCATCAGGCTTGGGAGAAAGAGCCTAAACTGCTAAGCCACCTCTCCAGCTGAGGTCTCTTTTTTAATACCATCACCACTAACAATCCACATGCTTTAGACAATATTTTACTCACAAATGAAAGACACAATCAACTTTATTAATAACCAACATTTTTATTAGAGCAGTTACAGTTGTGGAAACTGTACATTATACATTTTGGTTTCAAGGATTATAAATTAAGGAACTCACCGGTAGGGAGTTCTTTTTCACAGCAAGAAACTTTAAATAAACAAAGTCATGTTTTATTAAGTACATTGGCAGACTTCATGTGCTGTCCAAAATGTAGAGTACAGTATAACAACCTATTAGAAAGATCCTTCATGGAAAATACAGCTGTGCACATTTTACAAAAATACCCACAATTTGAGCTTTGTTTTAAAAAAGCTTATAAATCATATATATATTTATAAATAGAGCCAACATGCTCACTTATAAACATCCTTTAGTTCTCTGTTGCCCATTATTTCCAAAGCATTACACATTTAAATAAACACTTAATAAGATTAAATATTCTATTTTCTTAAAAAAAAAAAAACAAAACCAGCCTTCCCAGCATAAGAAGCTATGGGGTAGGAAGGAGCAGGGAGAGTGTGGAGACCACACAGGGACTTAGTTTGTTCTTGAGTAAAAACGGACTTTCTAAATTTAAAAGTCAAAGCAAAATGTAAAAAATAAATATACAAGTTGTAATATCATTTTCATTTGCTCTCTTTCTGCCTTATTTAATCCATATTGGTCACACCCAGGAGTCTTAATATATTGCACTTCTGCAGACAAAGAAAACCACCGCTGGGTTACTGCTCTACAGGTGACAAAGCATGCAGCCCGCACCTGTGCTGACACGGGGTCACACCGTCTCTTCAGCACTGAGAAGGCAGCTAAGGGAGAGACTCGGCTGATACCATGACACCATGGCTAACATCTAGGAAGAGTCCCCCCTCACGTAACACCTTCAAGACACTCAGGCATACCCTTCCTCCCCTGATTTCTTTTTAAGTAATTATTTTTTTATAAAGATCACATGATTTCTCTAGGTAAGCATGCTTTTGATTAAATTATATAATAGAAAAACAACGTCAGAACAAAACAGGACAGCAAAAGACAAATATTTAAAACAAAACCATCTACGTCTTTAATATTTAAAATAAAACTACAAAACAAGTTTGAAAAGTATTGAAGGTGGAGAATCGAGGAGCAATGAGTTAACAGGGTTTCACCATGTACCTGAACTCATTCAGCCAAAATTTGAGGCGGGGAGGGTGGAGAAAGAGAAGAGGAGCTATTAATAGCATCTTGCTTAACTTTCATGGGAATCAACATAGCCACTGACAAGATTTTATTTGGTTGTAACATACGTCAGCAATGAAACCGAACCCTCAACTGCTGATTACTGCAATCCATGCAACGCTTTGACTACACTTCTTAGTATGCTGCTGTCTTTCAGCTTTTAAAATGAAGCGCCTCCTGAGTGTGTCAACCATTCACCTCAGCAATGCTGAAAATACTTAAAATAAATTATTTCTTTGGAAGATATAATACCTTCAGACCACTACATTTTAAAGATAAATAGCCTTGTATTGGTTTAGAAAGAATAAACAACATGAAAATGATGTATTGCTATTAAAATAAACACTATTTTTTTTCTCTTTCTTTAACTAGTCTTTCGTTGTTGCTTTTCCTTGAGATGCAACCTGTGTGTTTTCGTCCAGCCAGGTCTGCAGGTGGAAGATGACTATGCAACATATTATCAAAAAAACAGCAAAAAATGAGCAGAGTCGTGCACAAGCGAATGAAACGTTCCCTCCCAGGACATTCCAGGCGACGCTCAAGCAGCAGGTCACGGCAGAAGACTGCTGGGTGACGCTGCTGCCTCCTTCTAATGAGATAGGAGTGAACGTTGGAACCACGCCCACCGCAACACAATCCTCAGACCGCATTCCTTGGGCCGTCTTCTCTCCCCAGCTCCCTACTAAAAACGTCAGATGGTAAAATAGTAAGGCAGCTGTTGACTTCCATCAAAAAAAAAAAAATTGCAGGTCCATACATTTCCAGTTTAGTCACACTCTGCTAGGACAGATGGAGTGGCCGACGCCAAGAACTTCGCCGGATGGGGCTGCTTCAGCAGATTTTAAAAAAGAATCGTTATCAAGGTTTGCTCTCCAACATGGCTGCGTGCTTCAGCTCTCAGAGGACCCCCAAAGACACAAAGCATTCCTGGGGGAACTGAACAGGTCCTCTGGCTGAATTTTCCAAGTGTCATCTCTCTGGTGAGCCCATCCCAAGCCTCCTTGCCTGAGTGTGACTGGGGTGTGCCAGTGTTTAAAGGGCTGAGGACACCACGGCAGAACTGTGGGCTAACTCCACTAGTTGGCATGACTTCACTGAAGGGTCAAAACAGTTATAGCATTAAATAACCATAGAGTCACATTCAGACACAGTCAACATTAACGTGAAAGACAACTGTTAAAAATTGTAAATCGGAATCGGAGAAAACAATGTTAATTTTGTATAGAAATTAAGGCTTACGCTTACCTTGCCTAATTCCAATCAAGTCAGAAAGTGAACGAAAAGAATGGCCAGCCCGATATTCAACAGCATGACCAGGACAATCATGATGGAATTAGGGCCCTGAAGGAGAAAACAGAACAAGACAAGCCCAGTGTTTCCATGTCAGTATGGCTGTTTTATCCAAACCCATTACCAGAACCAAGTACCAGAAATATAAGCATAAAAGCATGGATGAAGAAACCAAGGCATGGAAGACAATCTGCCCTTTCAAAAGGAGTGAGCTAAAAGCAGTAATGCTACGCTTAGGTGGCGTCACTGTTCAGCTTCTGCTAGAGTGGAACTAGGTTAAAAAAGTGTTTTCAAGCTGGGTGTGGTAGTACACACCTTTAATTTTAGCACTCTGGAGGCAGAGGCAGGGAGAGGTCTGTTCTGTGAGTTCGAAGTCAGTCTAGTCTACAGAGTGAGTTCTAGAGAACATAAAGAGACCCCATCTCAATTTTTTTTTTCTGCAATAACTTACTCTACTTATCTCACACGATTGGTGGCCTCATTGGGAAAGGCCACTGGAGAGCAGGGAGCTGGTGGTGGGACACGGATTCATAGCTGTCCTGTGGGTAAGGCAGATTCAGAAGAGAAGGGCAGTCCCTTATCAAGGCAGTTAGAAAATAATACAACCGGAAGAATTTATTCCTCCAGGGAAAAATTCAGTAAAACACTCAGGAGAGGTGTATTTGCTTTTTATAGGACTTGTGTATCCTAGCCTGGCCTTGGACTCATGTAGCTGAGGATGACGTGATGATCCTCCTGTCTATACATCCCACAGTGCTGGGATCAGGTATGTATCACCATGCCTGGTTTATGTGGTGCTGGAGACTGAACCCAGAGCTTTGCCATGCTAGGGAAATTAAAGGAGTTACAGGCTCAGCCCTCAGTGAGGTTTTCTTAGCCCTTGCCTTTCCCCCAGAACCTTCTCTGGGTCCTGCTCCCTCCTTTAAAACCACAAATGAGAAGTTGAACACTTCAACCTCCAGAAGTAATTTTTCCAAGCCTAACTCTTTGTTTCTTGACTCATAACCAAATCACTGTAGAACTAAGTACACTTAACCCAACAGTAGAGTCCTATCTCGATAAAGATCACTAGAATCAGTACCAGTCTGGTTCAACAGGATTCGGCAGCCGGTGTTAGTTCAAACGTTGAGAGTCTGACCTTGAGTAGTTTATTTTAGGAATATTTAAGCACAGTACAAGTTGGAAAAGAGTTTCCTGATGATAATGAACTCAAACTTGTATGTACAACAAAGCTTAAGACTTAACCACACTGAAAAACTCTGCAACCATAAACAATGGTTTCAGTAGAGGAATTGAGGAGAAAACCTGAGGGTAAGGGTCTGGGGGAGGATCCAGTGTGGCTGCAGCCACACAAGATAGTGCAAATGGTACCAGTGACATCCATTCTCAGCCCCTGGGCAGAAAGCCGTGTATACACCTCTCCACTGAAAGAAACAATACTGCGTGTTTAACACTCCTGAGTTCCCAAGAACCTCCATGCCACCTACTTTGCCCATGCGTGTATTCAGCCTGTAGATACCATGAGGGGGCACTGGATCTACTGGTGTTACAAGCGGTTATGTGCTGCCATGTGCGTGCTAGTAACTGAACCCATGTCTTCTGCAAGAGCAGCTGAGCCATCTCTCTAGCCAAAATTAATGGTTCTAATTAAGTTTACACAAAAGGAAGCAGTTACACTCTGAGCTGCAAATATGTTTATGTTGAAACGAGGTTCCAGGGGCATCAGATGTGCCTTCTCTGACAACAGGCTTGAACAGTTAGGAAGTCGGGGCAAATGCCCATCTTCCAGGCCAGAGCTTAGCTTAGGTCGCCCATCACTGACTGAAGGACAGCCCTACCCTGTTAGTGGCCCCAGCTCTCTGGTGGAGGTCAGGGTGCCTGGTGTCACATTCTGCTGCCACCTGTTGTTGCACTGTTACCTTCTCACCTAGACTCAACGCCACAGTATCAAGGGCTTTGACTTTGTCCTCACTGTGTCCCCAGGGCCTGGCTCTTGGGGTGTCCAATTCATCCATGCAGCCAGTGCTTAAGGAGAACCCACAACCTCCCTGCACCTCTCCAGGTGCTGGTGGTCTGGATGTGGAACGAAACAGGTGACCTCCCTGCATTAAAAAACAAATGAATTGCTAATAAAGTGGGGGAGCTGTGGGAACTGAAAACAGGGCCTTGTGAGGGAGGAACCGTGAGGAAGAAGCTGTTCCCCCTTCTTAAGACCCAAGTAGATGGAAGAAAAACAGGGTTTAAATGCCAAGCAGTAGACTAAGCATCTCTAAGTAGATTATCACTTAGTTTTATTTATTCTTCACATGAGATTATTAGTTCCATTCAAGAGGGTTTCAAGAGGATAAGTGTATTAGAATATTTACAGACTATTTATGAACCAAGGTTCTTTAGGGCCAGAATTAAATGTCAGGCTGTTCACTTGGGCGATTCAGGCTGTTTTTCTCTAACCTTGCTAAATCCCAGGCCTTAAAAACAACTTCTAATGAAGTTCTTCTGTGCAACATTTTCCTCTATACCCCATAGCTCTCAGAGGAAGAAAATCTTCCTAACTTCCAGCTACTCAGTCAACAGGTGAGCCAGGCATTGATGGTTCGTGCTTGCAATCTTAGCACTCTGAAGGCTGACGCAGGAGAAATGCATCAGTTCAAGCCTAGGCTGGGCTACGGAGTGAGGCTGGCTGCAATAAAAGATTTCTATGCAACTTCTCAACCAGGACAAGCTGAAGAGTAGACACTCTTAGAGCTCCAATTACTAGAGGTAATCTTTCAGTATCCCATTTGAGCATAAACAATACAGAAATGTTATGGCTACTATATGCTTTGATTAGACTGTGTTCTTAAGTGTGCAGACAACTTGGGATTGCTTCAATTTTGGGCAAGTGCATTTAATTCCTCTCACAGATAGTGGATGCATGAAGGATGGAGAAAAGTCTATTGGGTTAAAACAAAATGGTACGGAGTTCAGGATCTAGAGAGGACCCAGTACAAATAGAATCAGAGTGCCTTTGAAACCAACATCAAACACTGAAGCTAGGGCTGGGTGTGTAATGCAGTGGCAGAATTCCTATCTAGCGTGTATGTACAAGGAAGGCCTTGGGCTTGATGCTCAGTCCCAGAAATAAGAAAAACAAAACAGACTGAAGCTGTGCACACATCTTTAACTCCCACTTCACAAGCCCTGGTAAGGGGCTGTGAGTTTCCATGAACTCTTTTGAATTGATTAGTATTTGGTATTTGTAGACAGACTGTCTTTGGTGGAATTTAGCAACTGATTTACTATCTTTCTTCAAAGTTTGGCTCACATCTCATTGTACTTGTAATTTGGCATCATTGAATGATGAATGCATGCTTTATCTAGAATGAAAAATACATACATCTGTATTTCCTACTGAACACACACATATCTTTCCTGTATATGCACTAACTCTCAGGCATATTTAGCCTACCAGTAGAGCTCCACTTAGGGAAGCTATTTTAAAAGCTGACTCAGCGAAGATGAGTGGAGATCAGCAATGGAGACTCTAGCAGCAGCAGGGTGAAAATGAAAACCCACGATGCCGTGTTTAAGTAGCAGGTACCAAGCCGCGACCTTGGTTTTCTCCAGACGCCTTAGGCAGGACACTGGGTGAAAAGCTTTACAGTGAAGTCCCATAAATACGACCGTGGTGGCCAGTGGTGGCTTAAAATAGCAGAATGAAGAAGAGCTCAGTCCTGTTTGCCCAGACTGACTGCGACAGGTGCAGCAGCAGTACAGACGCTAAGCACAGATCAGAAGAAACCTTTAGGTTTATTTAGGCAAATAAAACAGAGGATGTAAAATATGAGACGATACCCAGCTCAAGTTGACTGTGCAGGGGCCACAAGTCTCTCCCGGAGGGCTGCAACTCCCGCAGGAGACTACCTCCTACTTTCTATGTTTGTTAAGTCATTAATTCCTACTAAGCGTTAGTCTATGTTCCAGAAGATTTTCTACATTTTCTACATCCACATCCAGGGTGAACACGGAGAAATGGAATGCACTGAACCATTTATTAACTATTTATATTTCAGTCAGTATGTCGTTGATAATAATAATAATAATAATAATAATAATAATAATAATGGCCCTTGAGCATTTACTCTGCTCAGTACTGTATTAAGAACATAGCAATTTCCCCAGCTGCTCACCAAGAGTACGGGCTGCTTTATTATGGGCCTGCCCTGCATGCCTGCTTTTGTGTGGGTATTTCTGTGAATTTTAAACTGCTCATTACAAACTTTGAACTTGTCCAGTGCTCTCGGTTTCTCAGAACAGAAGGCAGCACTACTCCATTGCTTCAGTGGTCATTCACTGACCTCTCTAATAGTGATGCGTCACTTCCTAACTCTAGGGACGAGGGCTGGCGCTAGAAACGAAAGGCAGCTTCCCGACGCTATTCGGAAGGCAGCATTTTCACACCGAGGGCCAAGCCCATCCTGCCTTCCAGATCTGATGGTCATTCACAGGGCAGCCCATGGTTAAGGGAGACGCAGGGCTGCTAAGATCATATCACATGTGTGTAGCTTGGGTTTTGATCGGTGAGCCAGAGTTGGACGTTGCATGGCTTACTTCATGAACCAGTAGATTCAACACATTAGTAAAACCTATGCTTTTTCTAAATACAGTGGCAGTGCATTTACAAACACACAACACTGCTATAGAGAAAGGTTTATAGGAAGTAGCAATATTTTTTTTCCCCATCACAGACTGATGAGGAGGATGTTGGGCACATGCTTCCACTCTGGCATTTGAGAAATTAAATGCCCTACTGGTCAGGCAAAGATGTAATGTTGATGAACTGACACTACTAATTTGCCCCCTGTTAATCAGGCAAATGGTATATTTATCCATGAAGCCTAGTTCATAAATATTTATGTTGCATGTCTGAGAAGTCATTGTTTCATGCAATGAATCAGTAGTGGTAGAATTATACAATCAGATAATGAGGTGTATCATTGTTCGAACATTTTAAAAACAAAAGCTTGCTAAATTCTCAAATGTCTTATATTGGTCTGTCTTAAAAGCCATTTATTTCCACAGAAGTTGACTCTTAGGAAGTTATTAGTCTAGTTGGATCTGATTATATTTAATTAATGAAAAAGTGAAGAATGAAAAATAATCAATATTATATATACATATATTAGCAAAAATTAATATAAGTTAATTTGAATGGTGAATTTTAATTTTCTAACCCTATGAATAAATGGAACACAACTAAGAAACTGATGGCTAGTCTATAATCTATCTGCTTGGCCAAGATTCCAGTCCAAACTGTTGTATACATGTTTTTGAAACTGCTAGTATCCATCAAGAGGCTGTGTCTCACTTCCTGTGTATTTCACAGTGAAAACGACCACCCAGAAGCATATAGGACTAAGCTAATACATCAATTTATTCTAAATCTGTCGCTTTAAAAAGGATTCTAAAATAATTCAGATCCCACAAATTCTACAGAACTTGATAAAAATCCCAGCTCCATATAGTCCTCACCAAATCAATTTCATGTCAAGGAATGTGTAGTAGACATTTATCAATAACACAAATCTTACTGGTCAAAAAAAAAATCTTACCTGGCTAAGATACATCAACAATGACTAGTATCTATCAGACAGCTGAGTCTGGGAATACTACACCCGGAGATAAGTTATAAAGTAATTATGTTGTTATAAAAAATTTCTTATTTGGAAAGAAAAGTATTCTTATTGCAGTACCAGACTAATTAAGCAAAATGCAGACTGCACATTTATAAGAATTTCCAGTGGCTGTGAGTGATGCTCCTTGTGTAAGGGGCCAAAGGAAGACTCAGAGCTCCTAGCTGCCATGCAGACAGGCACTGGCTGTGGGCAGTGACCATGTTTCTCTTCTAGGGGCCACTGAGTAGGTGATTATGAACTTTGCCAAGACACGTTCATAAATGCTTGCTAACCCCGAGACCATCCTGGGCTGGTCAGGCCTTAGCCCAGTCTGAATTCTCTACAGTGGGTGGCTGAGTAGGCTCAGGATTCCTGCCCAGAGAACTCTGCTATCATGAGATATAAACATCTTCTACTCCACTCTAACAAACCAGTGGACTTTTGTCACCTCAGCTGTTAAGATGTAAAACCACCCACCCCATACTGCTCCCCCAACAACCCGAGGGAAGGGCTCTGGCGAGACTTACTGAATTGACTTCTTTTTCTGAAGGGCAGGAATCACTGCTTGCTGGGTTCTTTGGTATAGCAAGTTCAGACTTCTTGGCTTTTGGCTCAGCTTTGCTTTCTTTGGCAACTGATTTTGTCACAGATTTAGGAGGACTCCACTTGTTAGCCGATGGCCTGTGTACCAACGCTGAGGAAGACTGGCTGGCTCCACTGTCATCCTCCCCATCTTCTGGAGGATGCTGGGGCGTGTTCAGTTTCACATAGTAGCCGTGATACTGAGAGTGCAGCTCCCCGTTGCTGGGGTTGGGGACATTATGGCGGCCAGAGTACTTGGTTGCTCCGAGTTCCTTTGAAGGAGCCTTTGACATCAAGGGCTTATTGACAATGGCTGTCACCTGCTCCTCAGTCATGCTCCTTTTATCTTGACTGAGTCTTGCCCCTGAGCCTGGGTTTTGTTTCTTCATGGGTTTTGGGGAGGAAGGCTGGGGGGAGTGGCTCTGTTTGGGGCTTGCTTCAGGGGACCTGGGGGGTGTGGTACCCTTGCGATAAAAATGCGGGGATTCCTTTGGGGATGGCGGCTTTTCTGGTACCTTTTCTTCTGGATTTTCTTTAACATCTACCCCCTCCTGAAATCTTTGTTTGATATAATCAGGGCCTGGAAATGAGAAGAGAAAGGAAAGGAAGGCGATAAAGAAATAAGTTGTCAAGGTCTGCAATCTGGATGGCTATCATTTTGCTAATGGAGATCAAGGTCTTTCCCTTTACAGATATTTACAAGGTGTGAGTACTTTCCAGTGTCTAAGGAAAAGAGGATTGCTGAAAAACACTTTCAAGATAAAACCTGTCACTATTTTAGAGTATGCCGACATCCATAAAAGGTAAAACATCTTAGACTTCTCTAATACTGCTATCATTTCGTACTGGAAGAGCATGGTTGCTTGGTGTAGAGCAGAACTCATGTTGGTAGGGCTTCTCACCAACAATGTTGACTTATCCCAGTTAGGTGGGATAATTAAAATATGGACAGCATGACCTTGAATAAAGAAATAAGCTTACTTTTGTGTGATCGGGAGTTTAAAGGGATCTGCACTGTGCAGGGAGAGCCTGCTAAAAGGCATTTTTAACCATTACTGCAAGCTTTTGATCAGGAACAAACTTGGCCTGTATTCTTTAGAACAATTTCTGTGTAGTCCATTCACAGCAGGGACATGTTACCAGCAGTGTCCATGACAAGACGGCTGTCTCTGGCTCGACAGGCTCAGGAATTGTGTAGAATTTTGTAAAATACACTTCGGGAACATTTATAATACTTTTTTTTAAAAAAAAAATCAATTCAAAATTATTTATTTTTGGAAGTAGAGACTAGAGGAATGCCTCAACAGATAAAGTGTTTGCTAGAAAGCATGAAGACCTAGGTTCAGCCATCAGAACTAACATCACAAAAACTGGGTGTGGTTGTGTGAACCTATAGTCCCAGCACCAGAGAGCTATGATAGATAGACTGGCTCCTGAGGCTTGGCTTCGCCTAACTGGTGAGCCCCAGGTACTAGCAAGACCTTGTTCCAAAAGGAAGTGCATGGCACCTGAGGAATGACATGATACTGGTCTCTACACACACACAGACACACACACACACACACAGACACGCACACACGTACACATACTTTATAAAAAACCAGCCATTGTTTTCTTTTCTTTCTTTCTCCCTCCTTTCTTCCTTCCTTCCTTCCTTCTTTCTTTTCTTTTCTTTTCTTTTCTTTTCTTTTCTTTTCTTTTCTTTTGGTTTTTGGTATTTTGAGACAGGGTTTCTCTGTGCAGCCTTGGCTGCCCTCTCTCTGTAGACCAGGCTGGCCTCCAACTCACAGAGCGCCGCCTGCCTCTACCTCCTGAGTGCTGGGATTAAAGGTCTGCACCACCACTGCCTGGCTCCACTGTTTCTTTATATTGAACACCCCATGAAATAATCGTGTACACGGCACAATGGCACAGGCTGTAAAGCTTACTGATGCCGAAGGTGCTAGGGAGTCCAGACAGCTCTCAACTGTTCTGTCTTCCTTCTGAGCGTGTCAGTTCTTGGCCCTTCCCATAACCATGCCATGTGCTACCACTCTAAATCTCATGAAGTGAAGTCAAAGTCACACTCAGTGGACCTGCCATCTTCTTGTAAATGGGCAGGAGGTGACACACGTTCACACGTTAGTAGGAGAGAAACCAGAGCCCCTAGTTTGCCCAGCGAGTCAACCAGTTCTTGTCAACACTTCACTTTCATTCCCCTCCTTGTGTCCAACCCCATCTCATTCCCAACCAACCAAAGACAAAGGGGCTGAAGACCAATTATCCTTATCATTAAAATACACTTGCACATTTACACTTTGACTTGTTCTTCCCTGAGTTGGCAAATCACAGTGATATGGTTGCTATTTATTTTATAAAGCTTTTTTTTTATTTTGTTTTTCCTTGAAAAGTAAAGCCTCATCCAAGTCATAGGAAGTAACTATTATCCCCATTCTCCTGATGTGGAAACAGCTCGGGCCGCTGAGAAACCAGGTCACAGAGCTCCTGGGATCCTTTACGATAAAGCACAATGCTGCACATAAAACAATATTTTTTCTTTGAGATTATAATTATAACATTTCTGCTTTCCTTTTCCTCCCTCTAAACTCTCCCACATACCCGTCTCTAGTCTCCTTCAAACTCGTGGCCTCCTTTTTCCACAAATTGTTATTGCATACACATATGTCTATGTTCTTAAACATGGTTAGATTGAGACCTGTTCAGTCTGTATGTTGCTTGTGTTTATGTTTCAGGGGTGACTGTGTGGCACTGAACAAGCAACCACTGTACCCATCCCTGGGAGGACCTGCTCCCAGCTCTCCTCAGTGGCCTGTAGTTCTCTGTGTAGGGGTGAGGCCTCCTAGGCTTTCTCCATCCAGTTTGGCATGTCTACTGGTGTCACCCTTGTTCAGGACATGTTTGGGCTCATGTTGGTGAGACTTTCTGAGAATGTACCCTTGCGGATGGATTCAGTCCGAACAATTCGCATTTCACAATCTGAACAATTCAACTTCCACTCTCCAGGAGATAAACCCACCCCTCAGCCTTCAGGCATCCCCAAACTTGCCAACGATAGAGATTTCCTTTCTGAATTTGGTAAATATCTTCTGTTCTTTTCTGTTGGAGACACAGTCTCACTATGAAGCCCTGGTGGCCTGGAGGTCACTATGCAGACCTGCCTGCCATTTCTGAATGCTGGAATTAAAGGTGTGCACCACTATGCCTGGCTGTTCTAATTCTCCTATAAATGTGGGAGGATAAACGAGTTCCTGGTCTAGAAAAGCATTTCACCGAGTGAGGGAAAGGGGTGACTAACCATGCGGAAGGCCACGTCTTTGTTTCTGAACTCATCCTTGGTGCTCCTGTTGCTCTACAGGGAGCACCAGCAGCATGGCACAAGCAGCACCATTCTCCATCGACAGGCTCACCCTGCTTCTCGATTTGTTTATTTTAGTTGCTGAGCACTGAGCCCAGGGACTCACGCTGTATGCTGAACCATACCCACAATGCTGAACCATACCCACAATGCTGAAC